TGTCCTAACAATGATGTGTACGCAACTGCGTGTCTGCATATCTGTGCCTAACAAATGTGGTACTACGCACGACTGAAATTTTACGTTTATAACCATAGCAACAGACCTCAGATGAGCCCAGACGCTCTGCGGCTCTTGTTAGTTTTTGCGTTAACACAAGCATTGCAAAATATCCCAAATGACCACAATCATATTTGTAAATGTTTCTGTAAACAGAAACGCACCTGTGAATTGAAGTACGATGTTAGTGAAGAGAATTATAGATCAAAAACACAGAAATGTTGTTGTAATATATAAAAATTCCCGTTGCATTTTATTATTTAATCTAAGAAGTAATACAGATTTTCACTTTGCCACTAGTAAAATTCTATTATACATGAAGTTTAAATATTAAATGTCAAGTTGGGATTTAACTGCATGTTTTTTTTCTGATTAGACACACGGTGCAAATTTTGAAATAGCAGGCTTTTTTACCACATGTAAACCTCGTATTTACCACATATAAATAACTAAATTGCATAGAGACGATAAGATGCAGGCAGTGATATTGCTTTTTTTCCAAATGGCGCCACTATGCTGCACTGTTGAAAGCAGAGCAAGTGAATCAGGTATTGATTTACCTGCTCTGCTGGACGTTTGCCAGTATACAATTAATACCGTAACCAGCCTGTCTTGTATGCATGTGGTCTAAACATTACTAGCTGAAATAATATTCGACTATGGTTTTTTATTAGCAGCCAGGTATGCAATATACTGATACATGATAAATGATGCCAATCTAATCCTATTGATTAATACTATCCCTGACATATGTTGTAAGATATAACAGATGTATGTCTGAACTAAATACCACAGAAGTAGGCCTACCTACTATAGTAAAATTTAAGTGATTAATCTAAATTCAGGGTAATATACCCTATTACATCTTTATTTATCATTGTTAATTCAGATTGCATTGTCCTATAACTATACGTACCTCCATTATATATTGCGCATTGACTATCTATGAACAAATACGCACTAATTATAGGTACTAAACAGTCCCAGAAATATAGTCATCAGTGAAACTGTCTGGCAATGTAAGTTTAAATATCTACGCAAATGTAAAAATTGAAACTCTGGTTATTTCCAGCCTGTACTAATATGGCTGTCATCTGTTTCGGAACCTTCGTTATAAAATTAAAGTCGCTAACATATGTATATATATATATATATATATGTGTATGTATATCTATATATATATATATATATATATGTATATATATGTATGTATGTATGTATGTATGTATGTATGCTTTTGTGTTCATCAATCGAATATGCTCATGCATATGCATTAATATTGATCCGTTTTAAATCTCGAAATGATCGCGTATGATAAAAACATGGATCATGTTTAGCATCCACAATGTCTGAACTATGACACAGGCACGTTGCTTTAATTAAATCAATGCAGTACTTGATTATGCTAGCGAATCAATGAAGTTTTAGGACAATAAAACTTCATATAGATCCCGCGTATAGATCATAGTGCACCATTTACCACACAATTTATACGTTGATATACAACTTATTATTAAATGTGCATGGTTACTCACTATCTTCACATCTAAACAGCATATATTCATGAACAAGATAACCTGACTCGACCGTTTTGTTTATTTGTAAATGCGCAATATGCATATATTAAATAACTACAGTTTGTGATGTTGGTTTGCGAAAGCTTCGTGTGTTGTTGGTACGATAGACGTATGATGCTTGAGCGCAGGACTGACAGTATTACGTATTACGCACGGCTTATATTGATCCTCTTTCAGTATGTAATCGTAAAGCAGCAACGGGAAGCGTAGTCTTCTCCTTGACGCGTCCGTATAGCTACAGATGTATAGCGTCTTTGACGCGTCTGCCGCAGTTTCACGCGGACACGTTGACGAAGCGTGGTGTCATGCATCTTACAAGCGAGAGCCGTTTTCGTGCTGTAAATAACACATGTTGTATTAATCTATCCCGTTTGAACTTGTGTGTAGGTGAGCGTGTTCGTGCACGTGTGCGTGTGTGTGCGTGCATATACGTGCGTGTGCATGTGTGTGTACTTCTTATATGGTCTCTCTCCCTATCTCTCTCGCTATATATATATATCAAGAGCTAATAATTCCTCTTTAATAGCTCTTGATATTATTAGCTCTTGGTATGGATTGGTGCTACACATGGTTAAGTTTATAAAAATGTCATATAATAAAACAGTTATTGACCTATTTTCAGGTGAATACGAGGATTTATTAA